GTTACTCCTTGGGATTACAGAATTCCCAAAATCCGAATCAGCACTCAGCAAGCAGAAGCCCTCCAGGTAGCTGACGACACCCCTCCGCGGTTTTCCTCTCGTCTTTGCCAGCTTTTGAGCAGGAAACGTTAACTGCTTTGCATCCGAGGGGATAAATTATTGATGGCATCTGGCACCCCGAGATCCTGTTTTCTAAAAATTCTAAATATATAGAACCATCTATTAAGTAGTCCTTAGTTAATAAATGAAGGCCAGAGAGAAACCGTCCTAGAAAGAGCCGTGTAGGACAGCTAGAGAGGACATCCATTATCCAGCTGTCCGACACAGAAACTTTCAACAGATACACTTTGCCAACACTAACAAGCTTTCTTCCAGCAAGCGATATAGAAATGCGATCACCCTGCCCTGTACGGATGATATAGTGATGCTTCGCAGAATCGATTATCCGTGCAGAAATAGAGCCCTGAAGAGAAGGCATAAACAAGAAAGTTGGAAATTAACCTTTACTGTGGTGGAGGGTGTAGGCATTGCCCGGTTGGATTTGCCCGATGTTTTGCAGTGTATAAATGAGGCACTGACATAGGACGTCTCCAGCCAGTAACCTGGTCGTCCTGTGCCTTTCACATCTCAAAGCCTCTTGCGGGCTCTCGGTGGCCACTTGCAACACTTGCTTTCCACATCTATAGTTTGCTGGAGTTCGGAGGCAGTGGGGTTCAGTTCACACCGATACCTTCTTCCCCACCAAAAGATGTCTTAAGAAATCAGAGAGTAACTTCAAAGAAATTCGGAAGTAACTCCCACACACCCATGATTGAAATTTTTGTTTTGAAACTTAATTTGGGCTGGGCAGTAATTGGGTTTTTCCCTTGTGTTGCAAATGTTAACTTGAATGTGTTACAATTGGCTTTCTTTCACAAACTATGATTTCCAGGCCACTTACTTGACGTAGAGGTAATACCTCACTTCAAAGCATTGGGCTAAGCATTTGCCTACCATCAGGCAATTTAATAAAACAGGAAGAACCCCCCCCCAAAAAAAGAAAGAAAGAAAGAAAAAATGCTATTTACAAATCAGCCGCTGTCTTTAGAGCTTAATGCTGTTTCTCTCTTGTTTGTTTGGTGCTGCTAATTGACCCACTTAACTCCCGGCTCTGGGCTCGCGTCCCCCCTCTTTGTGCAGGACTTCAGGGTGGTCGTGCGCATCGATTCCTGGGAGTCAACATCCGTGTATCCCAATGGACATTTCGTGCGTGTTCTAGGAAGAATCGGAGATTTGGAAGGGGAAATTGCAACCATCCTGGTGGAAAACAGTATTTCAGTTGCCCCTTTCTCAGAAGCTCAGGTCAGACTTCCCCAAGTCCTTCTGTCTGATGAAAGACGTTTTCTACTTTTTTTTTTTTTTGGCTTTTGTTGTTTATTTCATCATTAAGAAAGAAAACTCTGTGTACTCTGTAAAACCCACTGTCTAAAACCACAAATTATAGGAGGGTGGGAGTATAGTTAGCTCAGTGGTAGAGCACGTGCTTAGCATGTTTGAGTTCCTGGGTTCAATCCCCAGTACCACCATTAAAAATAATAATAACAAAACCACAGATAGTGGAAAAATCTCACTCCTCTTTACTCTGTGTTTGAGCCAGATGGAAGCAAGCTTCAAGTGCAGAGTTAGTTTCTTACAGCCTCACAGCTCTCAAATTTTTACATTTTCCAACTGTGCTTTGAAAAATGGTATATCTGTATGTTAGCGGCAGTGTACATCCATCCCCTGCAAGCACACGGTGCCGAGTTACAGACCCAACTGGGCTCCACTCCCTGTCATAATCATTCAACCAGATGCCTGCAGAAAGCTGCATGGAGCAGCTTCTTGAGTTCCATACATCTCTGCCCCATGGGCCAAACAGTCATGCTCATTATGAAACAGTTTTTGTAACCTTTACAGAAAACAAAAATTCCACGAATGTAAAACATCAGCTATTTCCATCACTTTATGATCTTTTAAAAGCCTTGTAAATCTTGGTTATTATTCTTGCATTGCTATATTCATAGTGCACTCATGCTATTTTCTGCTTCTTTCACTTAAAATTATTTCTACATACTGACATTGCCTACTTATTTTTAATAGTGATGGCGAATTACTCCATATTGATGGACTCTGGCTTGCTTGCGCATTCCTCAGTTGGTGGCCATTTGGGCTGTTTAATTTTTCAGTATTATAAAAAGCCCTACTTCAAACATTTTTGTAAATGTTGCTTTTTTCCCCCTTTTGATCATTTTCCTTATAATGTAATCCTGGAAGTGAGATTACCAAGTCAAAGGGCATAAAAAGTTAAATAGCTTTTGCTATGTATTGGCAGATTGTCCTCCAGAAAAACTGGACCAGTTTGCATTGCCATCGAGAGCGTATGGGTGTTCTCTTTCTCATATTAGTCTTTGACAGAACAGCAGGCTAGAAGAGTAAAATATTTTAGAATATTGTACGTTATTAAATTTTTATGTCTAACATTAGTATCTGGAAATTACTTGTTGATTTGTTTTGACAGCTTAGTGAAAACGTTAGAGTAAAACACAGCAAGGGTTAGACATTACAGGACTAGAATTCGTCCCTTTTAGCCTCCTTCACTGTGAAATGAATAGCTTACACAGGTAATAATGGAGAGAAAATGGCTTAGATTGGTCGTACTTAAATTATCTTTAAGGAATAAGCTTTTAATATTTGGGACGTGCCGATTTTTATCAGAGCTTGACTTGGATTAAAGGCTCAAGTACATTTAAATACATGGCTCATTTGAAAATGGGGTAGATAGAGTACTTTTTTTTTCTTTTTTTTTTAAGATGGAGGTACTGGGGATTGAACCCAGGGCCTTGTGCATGCTAAGAACACGCTGTACCACTGAGCTGTACGCATCCCAGACCCCACAGTATTATAGTCTTTATAAGCCACCCATTCATTCGTGCTCTAGCCCCCGCAACTAAAGAGGCAGTAAACACTCTGGAATGTTTCCTAAAGACTGTGAGGCCTTTAGGGGTATGGGGCTGTGTCTTTCTTATTGACTCATGGCCTTCCAGAGCCCAGCACAGCTCCTCACACATATTAGGCATCAAATAAATCAAAATTGCTCAAAAGAAGCAAACATAGCTTATGGGGTTTCCATGAGACCATGTTGACAATGTGAGAGAGTGGATTTTTATAGGAAAGTCATGGTGTGTGAACTGCTGAACTGGGGGCCTCTCGTTGTACAGATGTGTGAGATGCCAGTAAACACACCCGAAAATCCCTGGAAGGTGAGTTCTGAAGAGGAGCGAGAGCGTAAAGACCTGAGGAGAACCCATCTCGTGTTCAGCATTGACCCCAGAGGATGTGAAGATGTGGACGACGCCCTCTCGGTCAGAGCCTTGGATAACAGCAGCCTGGAGCTCGGGGTCCACATTGCAGACGTGACGCACTTTGTGGCCCCACATTCTTACATTGATATTGAAGCTAGAATGAGGTAATGCTGCTGGAAATCAGCACCACGATTAGGTATATGTCACTGTGACATCTTCCATAACTGTCCTGGTTTCAGATTTTCAAAACAAAGATTTCACAACTGGGGGCAATTCTGAAGATCCCTTCCAGGAAAAAAAAAAAAGTGAGGTCCACTTCCCCTTTTCCTTTAGAAAAATAGTACCTTGATCAATTTATCTTTCTCTTTTAACAGAAACCTTCTCCCACATTGTTTCCTTCTAAATTGAAATGGGTTCAGTTTTTCATGCGGTAATATGCTATTTTATATAAATATTGGGTCATTACACTCTAATTTTTCTTATGCAGCTAAGGTACACACCAGTTCTTCTTTTTCTTTCATATGAATGGAAAAATATTCAGCCCGAAGCGGTATCACTTAGAAAAGTGGGGACATGGGAATAGCTTTATTACCCAGTCCGCTGCTCTCTATGAAAAAGCAACAGCCTCGGGGAGTTTGCGCTGACACTTCGGCCGATTGCCCGCTGCGGCCCGTGCCGTCAGCAATTCTGCCTCCCGCTGCTGAAGGTCATTACCCGCATGTGTGTCATTCACAGGGCCACCACTTACTACCTAGCGGACCGTCGCTACGACATGCTGCCCTCCATCCTCAGCGCCGACGTGTGCTCCCTCCTGGGCGGCGTTGATAGGTGAGTTTGTTCATTATTTTTATTGTCCGATCTTGGCCCTTCTGTGGTGCCTGGTGACTCTTGCTTCTGGCCTCTTTCTCCTCTTCTTTCTGTGCTATACAGTAGGTGTTTGTTGTTGGCCTTTGAAAGTCCGTTAAAGTCTAGGAACAAATGCATAACATTTTGTACATATGTGCTCCCTGATGGAGGCTGTTTTGCATGAGGATCATGAACTTGAGCTTAAGGAGTTCTTCTCTATTTGTTGTGGTTAAAGTTTATATCTGCCTTTGACTAGGTCATAAAACTGTACAGCCCAAAATTCATAGGTTCCAAAAGATGTGTAGCGAAAGGCTCCCTCCTGCCACTTTCCCTCAGTTACCAATTTCTCATGCATTTTTCTAGATATAATACCGTAAAGAAAAAAACCCTCAGTTTTCCACCTTCCTACTTGGGAGAAAACCCCATTCTTCCCTGCTATGTCTTTCTTTCCTGTTAGCCTCCCTTGTCTTTACAGAGAACACGTTGTCTGGCACTTCTGGTCCCCAAATGTATGGAGGTTTTTCTCCACACCAGGCAATTCTCTGCAACACCAGCTGGGTGTCCTACAATTTAGTTCAATTCTGACACTATCTACCCAGAGACAGCATCAGGTTCAGTTAATCTGCTAGAGCAGCTCACAGGACTCGGGGAAACGGTTACATGTAAAGTCTATGATGAAGGATGCAGATGAACATCCAGATGGAAGAGATGCATGGGGCAAGGTATGTGGCACGGAGCACAGAGCTCCCATGTCCTCTCCAGGCCCAGCTGTGCCGCTCTGCCCAGCACCTCCACGGGTTCACCGACCCAGAGGCTCTCCGAACCTCGCATTTTGGGGGTTTTGTGGAGGCTTCATCACGTAGGCATGACTGATAAGTAACTCCATCTTCAGCCCTTCTCCCTTGTCAGGAGAAAGAGCGACAGGGCTGAAAGCTGCTAATCGTGCCCTGGTCTTTCCAGTGACCAGCCTCATCCAGCAGCCTCCAGGAGCCCACCCTCAGTCTTCTTGTTAAAACAAGACACTCCTGCCTCCCAGGAAATTACAAGCGTTTCAGGAATAGAGGTCAGAGACCAAGTATTAGAACAAAGGATGCTCCTAGTGTTCTTATCACCCAGGGAATTACAAGGGTGTCAGGAGCCTGGGACAGAGACCAATATATGTTTTCTTTTATTTCACAAATACACCCATACACACACAAGCATATCGATATGTGGTCTCTCTTTGTTACACAAATGGTGACATCATATATACTGTTCAGCCCTTGCTTTTTTTTTTTTAACTTAATATATCTTGGAGATCATTTCATATTAATCACATTTACGGAAATTTGGATTGTTTCCAAACTTTTGCAATTATAAACAAAAATGTACTGAATTCCTTGGAATAAAAGTCATTTCTCATTTTTAAAAGTACCGTATGTCTGGAAGATGAAGTCCTCGAAGTGGAATTTCTGTGTCAAAGGGTATATGCATTTGTATTTAGGTAGGTAATCATCAAATCGCCCTCCATGGGGGTGACACCAATTAAATTCCCACCATCCGCACAGTATGTGGTATTTTCTTATCTTTGCCAATTTGATAGATGAAAATGGTATCTTAGAGTGATTTTAACTGCATTTTTCCTACTATGATTAAAGTTAAACATTTTTTAATGTGTTTAAGTCATTTTCTTATTTTTTTTATTGAAGTATATAGTCAGTTTACAATGTTGTGTCAATTTCTAACAGTCATTTTTTGTATCCTCATCTGTGAGCTATTTCTTGTTTCTTGCCCTTTTTCCCTTGTGTTCTTGATCTATTAGAAATTGATTTATAAGAACTCTACATATTAGAAAATTAGCCTTTTGTCTTTCATATGAGTTGCAAAAGTTGTGTGTATTTTTAAATAGAGTGATTTGGTGGTAAAGTGGTTCTTAACTAAATGAACTTATTCATTTAACGCATTTAATTTAATTTCATATTTAATTCATAAGTGATTAACCCGCCATCAAGACTGATACCTTAGTTCAGTGTCATCCTGGAGAGTTTGAAAAGCTTTGCCCTTTACTAGAGAGCCCAGTAGACTTGAGTCTACCAGTGTGTTGCTATTCTAACCAAAATGGAGAACTGTAGGGTAGGGCTTATAAATTACATGTGAACTCATTTCAGATTTGCTCAGAACTCAGCAGAACCTAGTCTAACCTTGTTTTAATTTTAAAATAGTTTTTTGATTTGGTAATAGTGTATTTGGGTTGAAACATCGAACCAGTAACCTTAGCGATATCATTTCTGGCATTACATTTAGAATCTAGTTCTGCTTATTTCAAAAATGGAAGATTTAAATAATGACATCAGTGTGGCTGGTTTTTGTAGGTATGCTGTAAGCGTCATGTGGGAATTGGATAAAACCTCCTATGAAATTAAGAAAGTATGGTATGGCAGAACCATTATTCGATCAGCGTACAAACTGTTTTACGAAGCTGCCCAGGAACTACTGGACGGAAACATCCATGTTGTTGATGATATTCCAGAATTCAGAGACTTGGATGAGAAGAGCCGACAAGCCAAGCTGGACGAGTTAGTGTGGGCGATCGGAAAGCTGACCGACATAGCCCGCCACGTCCGAGCCAAACGGGACCGCTGTGGAGCCCTGGAACTCGAAGGGGTGGAGGTTCGAGTCCAGCTAGATGAGAAGAAGAACATCCATGACCTCATCCCCAAGCAGCCCCTGGAAGTCCACGAGACCGTGGCCGAGTGCATGATCCTGGCCAACCACTGGGTAGCCAGGAAGATTTGGGAGAGCTTCCCTCACCAGGCCCTGCTGCGCCGACACCCTCCTCCGCACCAGGAGTTTTTTTCTGAGCTCCGAGAGTGTGCCAAAGCGAAAGGCTTCTTCATAGACACACGGTAATTTCCTCTTTTGACAGGGCTGAGGAATGGAAGGGAAGGCTGTGCACTTACTTATCTTACAGTAGTTCTTAAAGTGTGACAGCCAGATCTTTGACCCAAAATAGAAAATTTCTTTTATCTCTTCATTTACTATAATGTAGATATAGAGGCTTAAAATTAAAACAGGTATATTTGGGCATAATTTGGGCCCATTACAATTTGTAACATAGAAGTAAGGAAACTGGTGTCCTTGATTTAACTTCATCTACCCCTTAGGCAAATGCCAAGATGTAATCCTATTTATTTCAATACTTCAAAAATGCAGCCTATCTCTGTGGCAATATCTTAACACACCACATCGATGGTAAATTTATCTCATCCCTCTGTAGAGTGAGACGTTTTCACTCCCCACCTCCAGGATAAAATATTTTCCCTGTTAAAAATGATGTATGGGGGGAAGGTATATAGCTTGGTGGTAAAGTGCATGCTTAGCACATGCGAGGTGCTGGGTTCAATCCCCAGTGCTTCCACTAACAACAGCAACAACAAAAAATGATGTATAAAGGGGATTTCTTTTTCAATACTTTGTTGTTAACAGATGCCAATTAGTATGTCTTGTTCATTTACAAAAATGGATTTTTTTTTACCTCTGACTTTAGGCAGTAGTGTATTTTATTGGCTTATCCACTGGTTGAGCTGTGTGTGTGCCAGGCACACGTGCTAAGGGTTTTCAGGGATCATCTTGTACCATTTGTTCATATTTTACAGATGGGGAAATTAAGTCTGGAGAGGCTAAATAACTCGCTGAGAATGTAGCAGCTAGTTAGGGCGGAGCCAGGACTGGAATCCACGCCTATCCAACTTGAAAGCTGCCCTGAGCACCCGCTCTGTCACATAACTTCAAAGATCCATTCTCCTTTGTGTTTCCTTCCCTCCCTTCTTCTCTCAGCAGACTACAGTATGGAACTGAATTATATGCTGTATTACTAAATTTTTAAAATAATTCTGTATTTTCTGGTTTCTTAAAAAGTATTTGGAAGTACGTAAATAGAATGCTTCCTATCTCTTCTTTAAAAAAAAAAGCAATTTGGGTTTCTTTTACTTGTGTGCCTCAGATTTAGCTCTGTTTTGTTTTTTAATGCCCTCTGGCTCAATAATTCATGATTTAAAAAAAGAGAAAGTCTGTTCTTTGACTAGTACAGGATGTTTAAGGCTAAGGGTGTTAGGAATTGAATTCGACAAGTACCTGACTATGTGCTGAGTGTTAACCTCTTCAGTTCAGGACATTACTCTTTACTACTTAAGAAATGTATTTGAATTCTGACACTTTCTTTGTTTAAACGTCAAGAGCAAACTAGATTTCTATAGTTGCTTCTGAAATGTGCCCAAAATAAGTTTAACTGACAGATGAAAGTATTCACACTGATGAGTGAAGGGTTCCCCTCAGAGTGTTGACTTGTAAATTATTTGCAGGGTCTAAATAAAAGTTTTTTCCATTTTTTGTCAGGTCCAATAAGACACTGGCTGATTCTCTGGATAACGCAAAGGACCCCAACGATCCCATTGTAAACAAGCTGCTTCGATCAATGGCTACCCAGGCAATGTCTAATGCACTGTATTTCTCCACTGGATCGTGTGCAGAGGAAGAGTTCCATCACTATGGTGAGTGATAAAATTTTCCTTTGTGTGGCCATAACCTTGAGCAAGTTGTTTAAAAAGGGGTTTTTTTTTGTTTATTTTGATTCTTTGGTTTCTTTTTGAAGGTCTTGCATTAGATAAATATACTCACTTTACTTCTCCAATAAGAAGATATTCAGATATCATAGTACACCGATTGTTAATGGCAGCCATTTCAAAAGACAAGAAAATGGAAAGTAAGGAAAATTTGTTCAGCAACAAAGATCTTGAGGAATTATGCAGACATATCAACAACAGGAACCGAGTAAGAGGGGATTTTTAATTCTTACCCATCATCTCTTTTGCTAACAGAGTATCAGCTTTACTGTGTAGTAGAATGAAGTACCATATATTCCAGCAAATTAAATTCTAGAATTATTACAACCAGTGAAATAGCATGAAAATTATAGTTTGTTGAATGGCTCTCAGTACATTTACAAATGTTCTGAAGTAACTTCATGTAGATTTGAGATTTAACACGGGTTAGATATTCTCCCCAACATCTTACCGCCCAAAGGTAACAATTCAAGATAATGCTTTTTATTTATAAAAATATCAGATCACACCTGCTTTTTGAAAGCTGCCTTTTTCACTCAACACGTTATTGATAGCACATCATGTCAATATCATTACATCATTTAGAAGCTGCTTTGTATTCTATTTTATACTGTTGCTGGTGGCTATAAATGTGGCACAGCTTAAACTAGACCATTTGGTGATACATAAGATTGGGAACTACTTAAATGTTTAATTTTCTGTATCCAGTGTTCTAGTTTCATATTGTGCAATATTATAGCCTCCAGTCATGTTGGTTTAAATTAAAATTTTTAAAAATTAAAAATTCAGTTCCTCAGTCGCACTCGCCGCATTTCACATGCCCAGCAGACATGCGTGGCTAGTGGCTACCTATGGGGCAACACAGATATGGAACATTTCCATCACTGCAGAAAGTTCTGCTGGGCAGCACGGTTCCAGGCAGTCTAGTTCACAGCCACTCTTGTGTGCACTTCTGCAGACCTCTCACATTTTGCCTGGAGAAATTCCTGGTAACAGTGAAATGCTGGATTGAAGCGGGTGCACAAATGAAGGATCTGAGTAGGACAGACTTGCAAATAAAGGGAAAACAAAGACCTGGATACTTCCCTCTTCCTGAATGAACTACAAAATTTTTAAATACAAATGGGTTGTTTTCTTAAAGAATTAATTTTCTAAGACATTTTTGAGGGAGTGATAAAGGGCCCCACAAAATTGATTTCATTCATAATAGAGAAGAAAATCTATATTAATAGTATTCTAGAACCGAGCCTTTTAAAAATGACATTGTTTCTAGGGGAGGACGAGTCCCACGTTTCTGCTGGGAGTGTCAGGGAAACTTGTCATCGTGCTCTGGGGCTGTGCTTCTTACAGGCGGCGCAGCGTTCGCAGAAGCAGTCTACTGAGCTCTTCCAGTGTATGTATTTTAGAGACAAAGACCCAGAAACTGAGGAGCGCTGCGTATCTGATGGGGTTATTTACTCAATCAGGACAAACGGTGTACTTGTATTTATACCAAGGTATGTCATTTCTAACAGAATAGCTGTTGAGAAATCCTAGTTAACCTAAAAGTCTAGACACAGTATATAAATGGCACATAACATAAAATGTATTAAAACATTTATTTCAGCAACTATTTTATAGTTACCATATGTGTATAATGTAATATATAATTCATTATGTAAGCATAAAAGGAGATTAGAATCTAGTACATCTGTTATCAGTCTTAGGATAGAATTTTACTTTCTTATTTAGCAAAACATTTTGTTTCCATCTGCTCAATGAAATACAAATTTGAATATAAATCCGAGGAAAAGTTGGTTTTAATCTAGAAGAAAAATCAGCATTCTAGGTAAGTAGATGAGATCTGCATACTAAGAATGTATTATCTCTGGATTTTTATTCTGGCAATGATTCAGGTTTGGGATTAAAGGTGCTGCTTATCTGAAAAATAAAGATGGTTTGGTAATCTCATGCGGCCCAGACAGCCACTGTGAATGGAAACCAGGATCCCTTCAACGATTTCAAGACAGAATCACCTCTACCACAACAGGAGGGGAGTCTGTTACGTTCCGTCTGTTCGACCATGTAACAGTAAGTCTGTATTTACATTAAGTATTGCTATCAGTGTAAAGAGCAAAGAATGTGGTTGAGTAATATGCATTTTCTCCTCTATGACAGGTGAGGATATCTGTACAGGCCTCACGTTGCCATTCGGATACAATCAGACTTGAGATAATAAGCAACGAACCATACGTGATGCCAGATACAGAGCTTTGTCAGCAGGGTTCCCTCTTGCTAAAGAGTGACTTAGTGAAAGAAGTAACGAGATCTGTGGAGGAAGCTCAGCTTGCTCAAGAAGTCACAGTGGACGTCATCGAGGAAGACTGTCAAAAATACTGCCAAACAAAGGGAAGAAGCCTGTACACACTCCTAGAGGAGATAAGAGACCTGGCTCTCCTAGATGTTTCCAACAGTTATGGAATATGAAGTACTCTTCTTACTTCATTAAAAAGCTTTGTCTTACGTGAATGTCTTACCTTCTTTTCAACATGAACATCTAATTTTCTGTCACTCAATGCGCTAGTCAGTTGGGATTGTGTAGATATCTCACATACGTGTAGCATGCTTTCTTATCATTAAAGTTGCATTAAATAAAGTACAACGAGGTCACTAGGGAACGTGATTTTTCAGAGACAAATGCATAGTGAGTCATGGCTCCGCAAATCAGGTTGCCAGTCTCATTAATAAATCCAGAACTTTTGGTTAGTTTATCTCCAATCAGTTCTTTCAAAGGAAGTTTTAATGTTTTCCAGTAATTGCTACACTGGGCCATTTGGGTCATAGGCCCCTCTGACATCTGTCAAGATTAACTTTTCAGTCACTTTCAGGTAAGAAGACTGAGTCCTGTCCACCTATACACTTTAAAACTCCCTATTTTGTACTTGACTCAACTCTCCCCTGCTGTCCTGTCCCTAGAGCTAGATGGGGACAGGGCACAGGGAGGGGTGGGGTGCACAGGGTAAGGTCTGTTCTCTCAAACCTCCCTTTCTACCCTCTCACTTTGCTGAGTATTCCTCAGATGAAGAGGTGCCTTGGCCTTGCCCTTGCTGGACCATCTCTCTGCCAGTCTTTCCCACAAAAAGCAACTTTCCCATAACTTAGTTTGTAAAAACTAGCTTTGCCCTTCCCTCTCCCTTGTGGGAATCTCCTGCCAAAAATTAGACAAACCTTTAAACTTGATTCCCAACATAGTACTTCCTATCTGTAATTACCTGTCCACCAAGTTGATAAACTTAGGCAGGAAAAACCCCGATTAGGTCTTCTCACCATGTGGCCCCAACACTTCAGCCTCATATTCACCATTCCCAAATCTTTCTAATTCCCTAGATGTCCACTTCTGCATCATTAATATACATGTTCTTCACCAATCCCTGACATCTCCACCAATGCAAGGTCTCCCGGGAGCCCTCCCTAGGTGCTCCTGTTCCCCATGACACTTTGCAAGTTTCTCTGCAACTAAGTAGTCAGTAAGGTACCAAGGAACATCTGAACTTCTCTAGCACCTATGCGGGCCAGGTATATATCAGCTTTTCATGTGACCCTTTAAGTATTAAAGTAACTCCTCAAAATACATGTAAACACTTAACAACTGTAAACATTTTACCAAAGTATTAAGTGCAGAACTAAATAGCAATAAGAAATTTTTATAAAGCTTCTAAGGGTAGTCTGTGAAATTTTTATTTTTTTAAAGGACATTATTTATTTTATATTTACATCTGAAAACACCACCCAATTTAGAAAACAGGACATTCAATTGCACGTTAGCAGCAGAAGCTACATATTCACTAATCATTTTTACAAAGTCATATCTATATAAAAATAAACACTGAGAATAAATAGAACAAAAGTTAGTAAGTATAAATATAAATAAAATGAAATTTGAAACAGGAAATCTGCAAAAGTTTCACTACATAAGGATTTTCACTCAAAGTTGACAAAATACAGTCATCTCAAATTTGGAAGATAGCAAGTTAATAAATTTGGGGGCCTATCCAACTTCTGTAAGGTTTCTAGATGAAGCATAAAGTTGACTATTGTACATAGTACCACCGTATTTTAACAGGATTGGTCCAGTTGTGTTTTTTCTATTTTTAATTCCTCCTCTTCATTTACAGGATCAGCAGCATTATCGACATGTGGACTGTCTAGGTCTCTGTTAAATCCATCTGATTCTTCCTCCTCTTGATCCTCACCTGGATTACCCCCTTCTGCTGTCTGTGCGCTGGGTGTGTTCATTAACAAGTCTGAAAGAGGAATCATTGTTACTCATTACAAGCACCTGATCCAGTCTGACCTGATGAATAACAATTCTCTTCACAAGCTTAGATCAGTGGAAATGAAATCTATGATCACTTAAATTGATGTTAATTATGATCACTTTCTTCCAAATAAAGCCATTTTATACATGTATAAAACCCACTAAAAATGCAAGTCTTCAACTCAAACTCTTGAAACATAGCCAAATGAAACTGCTCTCATTCAAAATCACAACTACTAGACAGAAGCTTTTAAAAATCAAATACTCTAATGAGCTGTATGTCAAAGTGACCTACAGTAAAGAACGTTTAAGAAACTTATTTCTATTTGGAAAATTTTAAAGTTGTATATTGTAAATAGAAGATACCTTAAAATGCTTAAAGCCAGGTAAAGTTTGATGATGACAGCAAAGAAGACACTGCCATCAACAACAGCTTTATCTTCACAGAACTTTTTTTCACAAGATAGTATAAAACATTCAATTGTAAAGTTAAAAATTAAATTCCTTCTAAGTGGAAAAAAAATCATGATACCACTGAATAACTCTCACTTGAGAATTTTATTATTTTGGATGAAACTTGTTATGTAACATGGCATGTCCACTACTTAACTATAATTCTTATTTTCCCATTTCAAAAGGAAAAAGTGGATTGGAAATTGACAAAGATATGTGACTGTGCTTCATTTAAAACCAATTTGCAATGATTTTTAAATACTGTTAACAAATTTAGTTGTTTAGTTTCCAAATATACAGTCTATTTATTTTAAAAACAGCAAATTTTAAGGCAGTTTTAAAAGAGAAGGGAATCGAGAAAAAAGCAAACTGATGGCTCACAACAGAAGTGACACACTTCAATAAAAAGCATTTTAGGACCTATTCATGTCACAGCAAATGGCTCTAAAATCCTTAATAGGAGCAGAGCATTTTATATGTTCAGAAAAGTACATTAATAATTAAAGATAAAATTAAAGGTCACGTGCTTTTAAGGAGTCAGAATCGATTTTAAATGATTAAAATAATTTCTTAAGAGAAACTCAGGTCTCCAGAAAACCACCCTGGACTCATTTATTCTTTGAGGATTCCAGCTAGCTCTCAACGCTCTCTCTTTCTCAAATATACATAAACTTAATATACTGTATCACATTTTTCTATTCCTAGAGGTATTTTATTTTGGGGAATAGTAAAGAAGTTAAAATTTCTAACATGCCCTTGATGTATTCATGGCTGCACATAAAATCTAGCATAAAATTTACCGTTTCCTAGGGACTGACTATTACTCAGGAGCTTTGCCTGTCTTCTTTCCAAGGCCAGTTGTTTATTTCTCTCAATTCTCTCTTGTTGTTCTTCTGTTAGGCTCCTACTTGACTCAGAAGCAAACTTTGCACTTTCAGATGAGTTTGTCAAAAAGGGATCTAATTCGGTAGCAGATACATCATGGTCATTATTTTCCCCTACTTCATCTGCAGCAGAAAAGAAAAAGTTAGTACATCTGTAGTGTTAAAACTAGTTAGAAAAAGAGCTTATGCAGCTGTTAACTGAAAACAGGTTAAAGCAACAAGCTGCCAGACCTGAAGAAACAACTTGTGAGGCATGAGAATGTTACAAATACGTGCCTGATTCAAACATGTAGAATGATGTTTATTAATCACTTTAAAGGGGCATTTTAAGTCAGATGGAATACTAGTTCAAAAATACGCATGAACAGAAAGCAACAGTTCTTAGTTGCTAATAAAAGAACTTAAAGAACCCAAAGCATATCTTTGTTTTGCATTGAAACATACTCGTGGTTTGCCGTTTTGTCTAATATGAAATTCAGTTATAATTTTATATAGGCTATTTTTTATAGGGTAAAACCCAGACACAATCAGGTGAAAAAAGAAAAGAAATTTAGACATCTGTGGACATATTTCCAAGTTAATTTTTTTAAAAATTTAGTGCTCTTTACATTAGTCTTAAAATTCTTAAAGCCCTGTACACCAGTTATCTCAAAGTAGGAAGTCCCTAAAATGATCCAGTGATATACTAGAACTTTCATTTATATTTCATTTAAGAAATAAGAAAAAATTTTAAGTTTTACTAACTATATTTAAAAGGGGGGAAGGGTATAGCTCAAGTGGTAGAGCGCATGCTTCGCATACACAAGGTCCTGGGTCAATCCCTAGTACCTCCTCTCAAAATAAACAAGAAAACCTAAGTACCTCCCCACTTCACACACACATACAAAAAAAAGGGGGGGGGGACTGGTGGTGATGAACTATCACTTATCCATATGACGGTTAATCATCTGGTCTGTAAGGAGGCTCACTATGGAACGGTGGAGAGCTGGGTCCTCGCTCATTCATTTTTTTAATTTCAGCACATTGTGACACACAGCTGATTCTGACTGCCCAGTTAAGCAATCTGACATACTAGATAGTTTAACCAAAATAACCCTAACAAAATGTACAGGTGGTAGCTTAAAAAGATTTTTGCAAAATAACAAAACACCTGTATGTAGAAGATAACAGAAGTACAAGCAAAAACTAAGAAAACAGCAAAGCTGACACTCTACCTTCTCTCTGTGTCATTCACATGACGGGGTTGAAAAAATAAATAACCTCATCATATCTGACAAGTAAGCAAAAGAAAAACTTCATTATCACCAAGACCACTACTTGAAATATGAATTTATATATACTCTCCTCAAACTATGTATATATTGGTATTAGCTAATGACAACAAAAACCATCACAACTAGCAAAACATTTAAAACATAAAGACAAACCTTTACAATTATTCCAGTGAGGTTTAAAAATAATATATTTAGTCCAGCCTTTTACAATCTAAACCCCTTTTGAGGTTTCTTCCTTAATAGTAAAAAAACAAAAAGCCATATACTTTTCCTTACGTGGGAAAAAAATGTGGCAAGAAACTAAAATGCATTCCTTTGTCAGGAAATACTGATGGAGTACATAAAGAAAAAATTGCTGGAAAAGTTGAGAAACAAGCATTAGAACCAATTATGCAATATATAGGGTTTGTCTCTGCGTAAGTGGTTCCCTCTATCCAAAAACACCTCTGCCTGACGTCTACTGCTTATCATCAAAGTGTCTGTGATATCACCTCTGTGAAGCTTTCCTCTCCCCTATGTTAACTGTGCCCTCCTTTGTACCCTACACTGTCCCCTCTTCATCTCCCGTCACAGCACCTTTCTGACTACTGGCATGCTACTAGTTCACTAGTCTGTTAGCCAATGAAGCCAGGGGTCTTATCTCATTCATCTTTATCCCCGAACCTTTAACACAGAGTAATCACCTCAAAAAGTTCAATGAATTAGCTAAGTATGTGCATATACCATGGGATTTATTACTCTAATAACTAATTCCTTTCCATATACCAAATACCATGCCATCAGTTCATACTATATCTTACCAAAAAATTAAACACTCGGTTGTTTAAATCACAATCCTTCACACTTTTAAAAGCAATTTATAAATAACTTCGGGGATTCTATATGGAGCCTGTATTTTCTACCACATCTATTAAGAGTTTTAAAAACAAAAACAAACATGTATGGAGCCATCGCACAGAAAATCTGATAACTATACAGACTCTGTCGGCAGGAACCATAGGTTTTGATGTGTGTGACTGCCTACGGTTGCATTGTACAGCTAACAGATGCAATCAGTACCAGGAACAGTCACGTAGGTCTAACCAAAGTGCTACACATACAAGATCTGTACTCTTGGGTGATGTGAACTATACTTCATCATCAAATTATTCTCCCAAGGAGGGAATAGCTCAAGTGGTAAGAGCACATGCTTAGCATGCAGGAGGTTCTGGGTTCAATCCCCAGTACTTCCTCTAAAAATAAATAAATGAATAAACCTAATACCTCCTCCCTCAAAAAATAAAATAAAATAACTCTGCCTAACTTCCCAGCACCTACTGGTTTTTTTTTTAACAGTGGACATGTTTATGAACACTGTATCTTGTCATGTATTTTTACTAATAAGTACTACAAAGGATCAATGGGTCCCCATCAGAGTTCTCAAAAGCTCATGTTCTGTGGCTAAATACATTTTTACAGCACCTCTTAATGTCATTACTGCTATGTCTTTAAGAAACAAATATAAACGACATTCTAGGTGTACCAAGGTATCTTAACGCATTCCTAGTTATTGTACTTTAATTATATACTCAGTATAGACTAAGAAATGCCTACTCCAACTAGCTCCATTTCAAAGAGCAAAACTAATATAAAGTAGATAAACCTATATTCTTACCATTATTGCTAATAAAATCTTCATGCAAAACAGGGAGATCAAGTCGAATTCGTTTTAAACAGGTCTGAAAATAAAGAGATATTTTTACATTTTCACTTGCTTTTGGGGGAAAATGGTCATTGGTTCAATTCTTAGTTTCAAAAAAAGTTGCTCAAATAATTACTATTAATTTTCCTTCTCTCCTAAGACAGATTGCAAAATGAAGACCCCCAAAGAGCTACTTAGCCTCAACTAAATCTATCCTTATACAATTTAGCATTGTGAATGATACTCATAACAATCTCAACACTTACCTGGACTTCCTTTTTATTTCCCAGGTATTCAACTCTGTCAATAAAATCTTCAAATTGCAGCTTAGGGAACAGCCTATGTGCCCAGTGCTCCATGTGTCTGATTAGCGTCTTTAAGTCTTCAGCCTGGCACATAAAAATAAAATTGCAAAATAGAAGATTCATTCTCACAACTGACCTTGTCAGCAGATTTTAGAATTGAACAGTAGTATCAAAGTCACTGGTGTCCTTTGACATTCGTAAGGTTAAGAAACTTTGAGAAGAAACTTTATGAAGAAAAAAATGTATTTATTAAGGGCTTAGAGGATTACAGTCTAAAAGAGCACCGGAGAGATTTCTATTTCATTTTAATTAAAATGAAAAGGTTCAATCAACTGGACTATTGAATGAGAAAAGTTCCAAATTCCTGGTTTTACTGTAAAATACTTTCTTCTCTTAACAGCATTTTAAAATAGGAGAGTGGTTAAAAGCACAGTCTCTGACTCAGACTGCACAGATTCAAATCTCAGTTCTCCCAGTTAAGAATTGCGTGACTTTGAAGAAATCACTTTCTCTCTCTGTGTCTTTTTCTTCAAGATAAAATGAAAATAATATACACACGTGATTGAATTGTTATGAGGATTCATGAGACTCAAATGATGGCTATTATTGTTGGTAGTGATATTTGATTTTGTCTAAGAAGCTAATGGTCAGGACAGTCACCTCCACCAATAATTTAAATATGTAACACTGAGATTGTAATGTCTTATCATTCTCACTCAGATAAAGATAAAAGTTCTTTTAAAAATTCAATCACCTATGACCATTTTCCAGCTGTTGGGGGTAGCTGGTCAGCCAACCTCACAACGTCGCATTAGACCCAAGGGACACAGAAGAGAAATAACTAAATACAGTGGGAAGTCCCAAATCATGGAGAAAAAAGCAGGGAGAATTTAACTTTGTGAGAAAATAGTTAAGAATTTTCAAGAGCAAGATACAGACGACTAGACAGAGTAAACGCTCTCAGAGCCCACCCTCACCCAGCGAAGAAACACAAAATAGGTATCCTTCATGTAAGTTTAGTATTTATTTATGTTTAGTTTTGTGGCAACACAGGACATAGGCTTATATTCTCTTCCTGTCCACCGGAGCTAAGCAACTGCACTGTAATTTTTCAGCCTCCTAGGTTTGAAATCTTGGGATTAATTTTCATTTGGGACCTCCCCATATCCAATCACCTACAAGTACTTTGTTGTTTGTCTCTACAACTACCCTACCCAGGCTATTTCACCTCATTCCCCTGGTGGAGCAACAGCCTCTGAACTGCTGTCTGCCTCCAGCCTCTTCCCTCTTTCCAACTATCCTGGATACCACACCAGATCATGCTGTTGTATTAATGTTACTCGAGCTGGGCTATAAAATGGGAAGTCTAAGCTCTGCCCCTAACTGCTGGCAGTGGACTCTTAACACTCAGGGTCCTTAACTAGATAATGGAACCAACACCTACCCCAGAGGGTGATAATCAAAGAATATATCTGAAAGTACTTCATAAACTACAAAGCAATACAAAGATATCATCTGCAAAAAATCGTATCTAAACTCTACATGATTCAAAGAAAATTTTAAAATGTACTTGGTGCAGCGATTGACAGTTCCTAAGTGTCTTCATTTTCAGCAAAACTGAACTGATGCCTATTACGAACTATACCGTATCTTAGGGACACAAAGATGATGGATACAGGTAAAGTCCTCATTCTCCTGAAGCTCAGAATCACTCTTTGAGGCAAAGTAAATTTTATTCCTCAAATAATAAAGTACAAACTTTAGGTTCACAGACTCAGATATGATTTTCTTAAAGCCAAACGGTGGGAAAAATGAGACTACAAGACATGTTTTCTGATTCTTCAGTGTCCTTTCCACTACATCATAGTTTCTAAAGAGATATCATGATAAATGATAGTACCTGTAAAACATTCAAAGATTCCTAAGAACATGATAATGGATCCACAGTCTTAGGGAACTTCAAAAAACAAAGGTCTAAAATAAAAATCATTTCTTACCTCATGACCTTTACCTTTAAATTTTGTCTTATCAAACACATGCCTTAATGCTGGAAGCCCTCTCTCTGAAATTAATCTGTGAACAGAAATACGTTTTAAATTTCAAGTTTTCTAGAGCCATCAAGGCCAAACCAAGACCATAAAATGAAAAAAAGTATGATCTGCTCAACTGAAAAAAACATGTTTGGAAATATCTGATCTCCACATCATCCCAACCAAGCACCTGGAACATAAGGAGGCAAAAAAGGATGGAAAGAAAAGTATAAATGTTTAAGGAAATAGTAAGTGTACCTCTGAGCGTCCAGCTTGGGTATGTTCCTTTTAACTGTTCTCTTTGGCGGTACAGGCACAGGTGCTCCTCTCCCCGACTCTGGTGAAGTATACCAAGACTTAATATCACTTAAATAATGTAAGCTTTATTTATAAAATATATCCCTTATAAGCTGACAGATGGGCAGCTGAACAGGGACATTACTTTGATCTTTATACAGACCTTCATCTGGTTCAGCACCATCACCACCTTCTCTCTCCAGAGAGGCTGGAGGTGGGAAAGGAGGAAAAGTCTCATCTTCTATACGCTCATAATCTGGTAGGTCAATCAAGTCACTCTCCTGTGGTTCTACCATCTTTTCTTCTAGGGGAAAAAAAGTAAACATGTTTATTCATCCAAGTAGTGTTTCTGTTACACAGCTTAAGTTCCACCTGCAGCAAAACGCATGAATCTCAGTCCATTAAATCATATTTCAAACCCACACATCACAAAGTGGAGAAGATAACAGTTATGGAAAAAAAAAACTAAGTTAGAAATTAGAAGAACTGAGTTCTAATATAGACCCTACCATTAAATAACTATGATTTTGAGCAAATCACTTTACCTCAACTGTTGAGTTTCCCCTATCATAAAAGGATGATTTTAACTTTTCAGAGGGTTTCAAACTGTGGTCTAAATGGGGGTGAAATAGGCGGGGTACCTCACCCCGACTTCAGCCAGAGGTTTTTAAAAATTCTGTTTACATACTCTAGTCTTCTAGTAAGGCTTCCTGTGAAGAAAAGGAAATAATCCTCAAGCTGATAATTTGAAAGAAGGCTTTTCAGTGCCATCTTACTTGACCTCAGAAACATCTGACACTTTCGATCAGTTCCTTTTTCTGGAGAAGTGTTTTTCTTGACTTCTGAAGCACAGTACTCACCTGGCTTTCCTCCCTTTCTGGACACTCCTCCTGGATCTTCTCTGCAGATTCATCTTCCTCTAACCTGGTCAGTAAGTATCCAAGACTTCATCCTAGGCCCTCTTCACTCATTTATGCAGACAGCTTTAATTATCATTCGTAGATGACTCACTAATTTTTTATCTCCACCCTTGGCATCAAATCTGAGCTCCAAATCCTTACTTCTGATTTTTACATTTCTAAAATTTCTCAAAGGCACCTACAATTCATCATGTATAAAACCAACCTTTTAGATTTTCCCAACTTAGTGAATGACATCTATCCAGCTATTCAAGTCAGAAATCTACAAGTCATCCTTAATACTTCATTTCCCCACCGTACATCTCCTGTCCATTTTACTTCAAGATATCCCTTGAGTCCACTGGAATTTGACACAACATTGTAAAATGATTATAAATCAATAAAAAATGTTAAAAAAAAAAAAGATATCCCTTGAGTCTGTCCATTTCTCCCTATTTCCACAACCACTTCCACAACCATTTCTGGCTTGGATCACTCCATTATTCCTATCCACTTATGCCCTTTCAACCCATTCTCCATATGACAGCCGAATTGAACCTTTGGAAATGTAAAACTGATCACATAACTACTAGGCTTAAACACTCCAATGGCTTCTTAGGATAATAACAAAAGTCCAAGGCCCTGCATGGTTTAGCACCTTCCTACTTCTCCAGACTTAATTCATACATTGTCCATGCTTTTTTCCTTTCTATTCTTCAGGAACTAGACCTTTACAAAAGCTGTTTCCTATCTAGAAGGCTCTTCCCTGACTCCTAATCTCTCAGATCTCAGTAATCACCTCAGAAAAGTGTCCCCCAATTTTCTTAAATTAAATTCTCCTATAATAAGCATTCAAGGTGTCATCTATAAGTTTCATAGCACTTACCCAATCCCAATGCTAGGTTCTATTTGTCTGATTACTTGATTAACATTTGTCTCCCATACTAGACTGCAGCTCTACAAGGAAAATGACCAGGTAGGTCTCTTTGTGCTCCATCCTTATAGCCCCCAAACTGATACGCAGTCAGAGCTCAAGAAGAAGTTATCTTGGCCCTCCCAACTTACACGAGCAGAAAACCTGCGCAGCTCAACAGCTCTAAAGAAGGGTACACTTCCCGACACCTACTTCAAATGTGGCCAAGAGGGGAATGAATGGACAGGGAAGACGCTCCTGGAGGGCAAGGCTGGGACCATGGAGGAAGGGGACAAGGGGGTGGTCCCAGAGAGCAGAACTGCAGTGGCCAAATGAGCTTTCTCATTTCGCTGCCAGGCAGGTAGCCCAGAAATCCTCACTAAACCCACGAGTTTCCTGAATTCAGAGTGAGAGTTATTTTCAGTGAGTTCCCCACCGACCACCTCTCCGCACAGGTCGCAGCCGGTCAGGCCCTCCCTTCCTCTCCAGTCCCGCTCGGCCCCGGTCCGTCTCGGTCAAGTCCCCCTGCCTCCTCACTCCCTCTCTGCGACGGCCCAGCATCCCCGCTCCCTCGCCTGACCCCCTCAGACGCCTCTCCCCTCCGGAACTTCACACACGCACCAGCCAGCTCTCACCTCACGCAGACCGCTGCAGCCACTGCACGGTGCTCGGCGCCACGGGGAAACCGCGTTTCTTGCGAGACTCTCGCGAGAAAAGGCCCTTGGCGTTTGGCGCCAAATCTGCGCACGGCCCGACCCGCCTCCCCCAGGTCCCGCCCAGCTACGTCTGTCCCCGCCTTTCCGGGGTTCGGCCCAGCCCACCACGCCCCTCCCCGCCGCTTCCGCCTCCCGGAATTTCTCCGAGCAGTTTAGCCACCTTGTTTGAGTAAGTTCGTGTTCGTTATGCTCCAGGCACTTTGGACTTTGGAAATAGGTCTCAGCTTCTTTAGAAAACTGGATTGTGGGTGGAATATAAAGGATAGAGGCAAACAGAATCTGATGGGAAACTACTGATTCTTCAGAGTTACTAACAATTCCTTGAACCCAACAGTTCTATTGTTTGAATAATGAGCTGAGAAACTAGGCGACAAAGAGTTAGTGTTAGGTTTGTGGGCACAAGGAAGAATGTCAAAAACTTGTTACCTTTAATTTTTTTAAGGTGGGTCCAAATATATTTGTATTTGCTTGCACACACTCACCCACAAACGGGGAAAAATAAATATATTACTAATACTTGCGAAGATGGGAACTGGGCATATGGGACAGTATGGGATAGGGACCGAACACTATACTTTTTTGGAACATAAATGTGTTAACTATTCAAAAAACAAAAAAAGTTACGTTCAGCAAATACAGCATCAAGATTCGACACACCAAGAAGATGAGTAATGTTTGCAGCATTATTTCTCTGCTTTTCTGTAGCTTGAAATATTTCATTAAAATTATAAAATAAGTCAAATATGTGGAAGTAAGATAAAGTAAATTGCAAGCTCTATTTATCTAAAATTACATATGGAAATATGTATATGTGGCACATTTTCCTTCATTTTATGTTTGATTCCCATAAATACAAGATAACATTTCTAATATTAAGCAATTTACAAAATTAATATTAATTTAAATGGGAACTATATAAACTTCCAGAATCTGGATAATTGAAGCAAAACACATTCTTCTAATTGTCCAGGAAATAGTCTGTCTTCTCCACTTTATGTCTAATAAAGTAAATATAAAATCCCTTTGTGAAATTAAAAAGTTATATGCCACCTTGCCCCTCTCCCTGCAAAAAAGCCCAGAGCAGAAGCTCTGATGGTTTGAATCTCTGTTCATCATTTACGACTTGGTGACCTTTGTGCTTCAGTTCCTCATTATTAACAATAGTATTTACTTCACAGGATATTAAGGAGGATTAAATGATACTTAATAAATGTTACCTATTGTTATCCACATAATTTTTAGTATGTTTGACCCTTTTAGAAAGTGTAAAAACTTTGGTAATTGTGGGTCTATGTGGATATAACTACCACAATTGTAAAGCATTAACACATTATTGTCTAAGACTGTCCTTTTTTTCATATGAGGAATATTAGAGATACATTTTCCTTAGTAATTTCACCAGAGATATAAAAAATAGCTTTCCCATAGATCGTGTCATTAAAACTCTTTTAAAACTATTTAATGTTTTTAAAAGTGAATAGTGTTAAAGAAAAAATAGGCTATCAAAGACCGAAGGTTGAGTTTAGAATGTAAGTTTCTCTGATAAGCTGGGAACCCAGTCCACAGTTGAGATTTGAAAGAAGAGAAATGGGGTAAATCTTTTACAAGTAAAAGACCATGAAATCTTTCTAAACCACATTTGAAAAGGCAAGTCTCTGAGTCTTATTGATTGGCTGGTGTTACTAGGGCCTGTCCCTTAGGTAAGTGCTGGACTGGCTAGTGGTAGTTGTCTGCTGTGTACTTGAGGACATTGTCTGAAGATTGTGGCATCTACTTGCCCTGCCTTGTACATAACATGCCAAAGTTGGGACCATATCACGGAGTCAGGTCTGCATCAGCACTAGTAATCAGAGTGGCCAGACCAGGAATTACTAATCAGGATATGGTAAGCTACAAATAACAGAAAATACTAAAATGAACTAAATAAACTAAAATAACAGTAAGCAAGATAGAAAGTTTATTTGCCCCTCCGGTACAAAAGTCTGGCTGTAGTAAGTTCAGAGTTGCCATGGTGCTCAACAGTGTTAGGAATCCAGTGTCCTGGCTTCTTGCTTTACTGTGTGAGCATTCCATTCTCAAGTTCACATCGTTGTCCATGATGGCCTCTAGAACTCCAGCTGCATTCCAATCAGCAGGAAGGGGGAAAGCTAGAAGGGCATGGCTCAGCATTTTAAGAACATTTCCCAGAAGTTGCTTACAACAATTCTAGTGACATCAGAATGTAATCCCATGGCCACACACACGTTGCAAAAGAGACTGGGAATACAGTCTGTTCTTCGTGGTTGTGGCCAGGGTTTCACAACTCAGGGTTTCTATTATTGTGGAAAAAGGAGTGAAAATATGTTGGGGGAAAATTAGTAGATGGCCACAAATAATAAAATAGGAAAAAAAATAAACTTATATTTTTGTTTTGCAAATCTACAGTTTTAGAGTGTTTCCAAAAATATTAAGAATGTGGGAGTCCTGGGTTCAATCCCCAGTACCTCCTCCAAGAATTAATTAATTAATTAATAAACCTAATTGCCCTCCCCCAATTAAGATAAAGAGAGTTTGTGGATAAATAATTTAGTAATAAAATAAAATATAAGCATTAAAAAATGTAAATAGCTAGGACCTTTCCCAGTAACGCATATAAGCAATTCACAACACAAGAAGACTATTAACATCACCGTACATTGTATTATATCTTTGGGAATCTTTCCTAGAATACATCCTCAAACTGTATATAATATCAGCTCTAGTAAGAACTAACAGTCTGACCCTGATCAAATCACTTTATTGCTCCGAGTCTGTTTGCTCTTTTGTAATATTAAAGATGTGAATTAGATGAGCCCAAAGGAACTGTTCTAATGAAGGATACTCAAGAGTAATAAATCATTTATTGTGTTCCGTGTTTTAGGTCATAAGCCAAGTTGGTAAGATAAGGTAACCTTTGAACGCCCTTTCTATCTCTGGGGACTCCTACCTTATGAGTTCAACCCTAAGATAGCAGTGAAAAATTCATCTTCTCAGGGTTCCACACAGCTAGGTGTATCCTGGGTACCCCAGTTCTACAACTGAATGAAATTTCAGGTCAGAAGAGAGTGAAGTGAAGATGGAGGCACTACTTGTAATCCATTCTGGCAAAAAAACAACTAGCTTCCAAAGGCAGCAGGATTAGGGGCCCCAGTGGTCATGTTCAGTGTCCATTGTCAGGGGTGAGAGTACAAGTCCACTTTAGTCTAGTAGTGGTACCAGTAGAATCTCCACCTAGAACAGCAGAACAGCACAGTTTTGCCATTAATCCTGTATAGCTGCCAAGCCTCATTTCCTGCCCACTCAGAGATTCTAGGAGCCATCTGTATCCTTTAATAAGTTTATTTTCTGTTTAAACTACTACTGAGATGGGATTCTGTTATTTGCAATGAAGAACATTGACTGATGTACGTTGATTGACTATAAATAATATAACACAGTATACAGTTAAATGCTGATTTACTTGAACCCAAAAGTTGATAAGTGCTGGGGGCAAGTAAGATGAACAAGAGT